AAGTATAAAGTAATATTAAAAAATAGAAGTTAAACCAATCTCCCTTCAAATTTGGTTTATCCCAAGTAGAGTCCTTTTGTATTTCTGATTTCTCTTCGTTTTTTGTATGTTTCGACATAATATTTGTTTACGTAGGTGTGTCGGTGTCAGATAAATTTATGGCGCAGCAGAAAATAATTATTAAAAATGATGTTAGTGTGCACACTTTGAATAAATACTAAATACACTAATGCATGTTCTTGGCCAAATAGAATTAATTTTATCACAGTTTTCTGACCTATTACATATGTAATCTATACAATACAAAATTATTTTTTCAAAATTGATTTGTTTAGTATAATRATTACTTTTAAACCACTTATTTATTAATTAAACAGATTTTAATKACAGAATCAATTACAGCTTCATTCAATGAAATTATCGGTCCTTGGAAGCTGATTGGAAATTGAATAATATAGTCTAAATAATGAACCAAGTTCATATAAAATAATAAATACACCATCAAATAATTACATTTTSATGAGTTATTTTAGTATAAATGTTTTAAATATTTGTCTTGTTGACATGTTATACCTACAGATAGTTCTGCAGGCACAGCGAGCAACTATTAGATGAACCCTAACCGTGCCTCAATCCCTGCATTTTACTTTTTATATTCAACGATCTTTGATCCTAATTTTTTTGACTTGCACTTCGTTATCAAGGCAGCGTATTGTACATGATTAAAGAGGTGTAGTGGACGGGTGGATTATGGCGTCGGTTGCGACGGACACCGTCACCGGCTACATCGCTTTCCGGGCAGTTCATGCTGTCTGGAAAGAGAGGCCGCCCCCGCCCCCCCCGAGCATGGCAGAAACCTACGGGTGCCCATTCGAAATTCTGCCCAGCACCCACGTGTTCCAACCAACAGTTCTCTCTACCACAGTTCCATAGGCTAATGACCCTAGATGTCGATGCCTCAACACCATAATAAAAAAATAAAAAATTGTATGAAAATAATATAAATACCTAATTTTTTTTTATTATTATTATTTACATAGTGGTTTTAAAACTTTATTTTAAAAAAACTAAATTTTAATAATCAAATTCGTATCAGAATATAATCAATATAATATAATGTAAATATACAATATCACTGTAAAATCCAYATATACCACAACTGTAATGTAACCTTAATTTAGAACTTAGTTATTTATTTGTATATTTACTTATTAATGATAAATTGATAATGTAACCACAACCACAGGCTAATGACCTAGCTGTTGAAGCCTTCAATATCAAAAAAATATATATAAGCAATAAGCTGTATAATTGACATATCTAATTTATAAAATATTATTTGATTTAGAAAGGTTAAATTACTATTAAATATCTACATTTAATATCTTAATGTAAATTAATAGTAAAATATTTTATTTTATTTTATCAAATTAATAGTAGTGCCTACTTATATTAATATAATGATATTAAAAGTAAAATTATAATGACCATTAAGGTTGCCACACACAGCAGTGGTAGCGGTGGCGGTTACGGCAAAATGAAGCCGGACTCAATTTTACCGCCACCGCTGTAGTGTGCGGCGACCTTTACAAAAGTAATATACCTACTATTTATACTTTAATTATTAGATTTAAAAAAACCTATGAAATGATTAATTACCCAATAAATGTTGTTATCTCTATCTTTTTYAGAATCTATCCAATGTCAGCAGTTTYAGTCAAATTTAAGATTTATAGTTATTATAAATAACATTTGATATTAAAGTAATATCGGATTATGCAAATTAATTATCGATTCCGAAATTTAAAATATTTTAATTTTTCATTGAAAAAAATTCACATTGTTACCACATGCAATATATATATATA